TCAGTCCTTTGGAAGTTTCTTAAGGAGGATCCTGAATATATATAAGTGCTATATATATATATAGTATGCCCCCTTTATCTGTGCTTTTGTTTTATTTGCATGTTTTGTTAAACATGGTAAAAAAAAAAAAAACATTAAATGTAAAATTCCAGAAATAAACAATTTATAAGTTTTAAACTGCAAGCTGTTCTAAGTAGCATGACAAAATCTCATGCTGTCCTGCTCCATCCTGCCCGGGACATGAATTCTGGCTTACTCTCTCTCCTCTGGCTTACTCTCTCATTGACCCACAAACCCACCACGTACCTGTTGACATCTATTCGTGAAGCCTGTGTGAGACTTTCTATCACCCCATCACCATGCTCCCCTATCCCCCAGGCAGTATCTTAAAGGTTTCAATACATGTTGTATAAGAAATCAGCTCTGAATTATTCCTACCTTTATTTCAAAGCCCATCAAATCTCTCCACTTGTCTTTTCAATTGTTATGGATTTGTATTATGACAATATGTTAGATTTAGCATTAGTATTTTTTTAGTCATACCTTTTCCAGACCGTGTTGAGCATTTTGGGGAATTTTGGTTTCTATGGAAGAGGTTCTCATTGGAGAAGAGTGTACATAGTAGTCTTCAGTGCAGGGCTGTCCTGGAGAATTCAACCAGGGAGGCCTCTGGGTCCTGTCCCTCACTTATCTAGAGCAGCTATCTTTTAACACACTGTAAGACTCCTTCCTTCCTCCCCTCCCTCCCTCCCTCCCTCCCTTCTTTCTTTCCTTCCCATGAAAAGGTAGGGTAAGGCTATTAAAATCGTTAAAGCCACTTGTCTACTATGATTTTTCTCTTGGTTTGAAACCCACTTTTGAAATAAGCTTTCTGTTTCACATGCAACAGTCCATTTTTCTTTATAAAATGCCAAGATTTTTTTCTGTGTCCCTTGCTCTCCCAAGTCATTGACAAATACGTTAAATAAGACTAATTTTGGCAATTCAATGTAAACATTTCAATCTAGAATTTAACTCTCTTTGTTTAACTCATTAAAAAACTTACTGAGTACCACTCTGTTTAAAGCAGCTCTATTCACTGTCCTGGGGCAAAACTGCCTTAATGGGCCATGTTGATTAAACATGGGCTTAGATACTTGCAACAATAGCCCCTTTAAATTTAGGAGCTTTGAAGAAGAGACAGAAATACAATGAACCACTTCAAGCCTAGATTAAAGGGAATGGCTGGCTTGGAAGGCCAGGCCCTACCATAGGGTTCATTTACATTCTTTGCCTTTTTCAAACTGTGCTAAGCCACAGCAGTCACCACTACTTGAAAAGCTGGGGTCTAATTAACACGAAGATTTGCCTTTTCTGCCTATTCCTGTCAACCTGATTTCATTCATGGGGTCAGTAGTTAAGACTCAACGTCAGCTGACTCCATTCTTCCCCTTTCCTAGAAAATCACGTGCCTATTGTTAAGATGCTGGATCATTAAAAGTCAGAACCATGGAACATCGGGGCTGCCTACTGTAGACACCTCTTCCAGCTCATGAGGCTGGATGAGCTCATCCTAATTACACAGAAAACTGAAGGTCAGTGCATCAAATTAATGCATCAGCATATTTCAAAGGGGTGTATGACCCCCTCTCCCTATTACAGTTTGGTCAGTCAAAAATGGTTTTCTCCTCCCTGCTGCCAATATTGTCAACAGGCATTCAGCAGAGAACAATCGGGAGTATTGAAACATGTAATTAAGTACTGCTTAAAACTACTCTATTCTAATTAATGGAGCCAATTTGCACAATATGTAATCTTTTCAGTTCTTTAGTCCAGTCCAGTGGGCTTCAGTGAGCGGCTCTAATCTCCTCAGGCTCAGCAAAAGAAAGCTATTTTCTAACTCCACTCTCCTTTAAGAGCAGGGGCTAAATGCCAACCAGTATTTTGCAAGTTAACTCTACTGGCGTCAAATCTGGGATTCTGGCAAACTGCTGGCTGCTGCTGGGTTTGCAGCCAAAACTCGACCAGGCACAAACGTAAGCAATATGCTGACATTGTGCAAGACGGGAACTGGGTGACAAGTAAGATTTGGTTTTTAATAAAATGGAAGTGTTTCTGAAACCAAACATCAGGTTTACAAATCCATCATTTTTTTAAAGCTACAGTTGAGCAAATCATCAGTCAAGGAAACACACCTTTGCATTTGTTCGTTGTCTTATCCAAAATTGCCTTCGTGGAAACTATTTTCCCATATCTAAAAGACAAAAACAGGAGAAGAAGTTATAATCAAGGAGCCCTTATTAATGTCCACAGAACACACATACTTTTTAAACATCTGCAAATTTTAAAGTACAAAACGTTCTTTACTAGGGGGACAGGAAATGAGAATCCTAAACTCAAAACTGAAGTTAAAAAAGGGGGGGTGGGGAGAAGAGGGGGCTGGCTAGTCCTCCCATTGGAATATTTGGATTATAGTTTGATGTTTAGCTTTGAGGAGCGAGGTACTTACCTAACAATCCTGAGATTTTTTTTTTTAAAGTGGAATGTGAGCTCTAGGAAAAAATAATTTGTCCTGACTAGGTGGCTCAGCTGGTTGGAGTGTCGTCCCATACACTACAAAGTTGTGGGTTTGATTTCTGGTCAGGGTACATACCCAGGTTGGAGGTTTAAGCTCCAGTCATGGTTCTTATAGGGAGCAACCAATCAATGTTTCTCTCGCATCACATTGATGATTTTTATATTTTGTTAATCCTCACCTGAGGATACTTTTTCATTTAATTTTTAGAGAAAATGAAAGGGAGGTGGGAAGAGAGAGAGAGAGACTGATGTGAGAGAGACACATCCATTGGTTGCCTCCCACTGCACCCCAACTGGGGCCTGGGATTGAGCCTGCAACCCAGGTAGATGTCCTTGACCAAAAGTGAAACCAGGGCATTTCAGTCTGTGGGCTGACATTCTAAGTACTGAGCAAAACCGGCTAGGACTCACATGGATGTTTTCTCTCTCTTTCTTTCTCCCCCCCGCCCACCCTCTCTAAAATAAATAAACAAATGATCAAACAAACATACATACAAATTGTTCCAGTGACACTATATCTGTGGTCAAATACAAAACCTAATGCAAGGCTACAGAATTATTAAAGGAAAATACTATGATCCACCCAACCTTTAAAACTGACCACCAGGGGAAATGCCTGCATCGTACCCATTCATTTCGGTTTTGCAAACAGCACTACATGGGCAGATCACCACAAAAAGGTGCATTTGCATGTGCTTAACACTTTCAATGAATTTAACACAGTTCTTTTTGTTAGTTACCTGAGATAACTATTCATAGTTTATTCACACTTCTTTTAACTGTGTAATAATAGTATATTGCTAACGTGCATTGTTTGTATGCAAGAAATGGATAATCAAGAATAGAAAACAATAGATAAGAAATTAAGCATTAATTGTATAAGTTTTTTTTATGAGAATGTGTTCAAATTCCTTAATGTACAATGGAAGTTGGGGGAAAGAAGGAAAAAAATTCAGAACATTAAAATCTAGTCCACTGCTATTGAAAATGAAATGGCAGTATTGTTGCGATGTATGTACTAATTCTCCACCCTTTCACAGTGACCAGACCACAATGTAAAACATTGCTACCTATGTTTGTCTTCTAGAAACTGAGAAAAGAACGTTTTAAAAATAGTTCTTAAAAGTTATTGGGACTTTGGGTAATGTACATAATTTACTTCATATATCTAGACTCACTTCCTCATTTATACTGGGTAAATTCCAAAATTTTATTTCTCTTTATGTATATTTTAAGAGTTTCACATTTTCTCTAATATTGCTTTCTCATGATTGATTTTTGAGGATTAAAAAGAGTCCTAAAAGTTCTAGAAAACAGAAAGTATCTGTGTAAAGCATTTTAAATTACTTTGAGTATTGTAGGTTTCTAGTTCATGCACTGAAGAAGCTGAAATTAATTTATCTAGACAAAACAAGTGGCTTAAGCCACCTCTCTCCCTCAGTGAAATTTCACTCTGTGTAATCATGTAATCAAATGATTACTTAGTAGGCATGAAAGTAAAGGTAATTTAAGGTTCAAATGACAATTACATCCAAGGGGCATAATGCTGCACAAACACCTTTAATTCCCCGTAGAGATTCTGAGTATTTATAACAACCTTAACACAGGTCACTGGCCTTACAAAAAATAATTTTAAAAAATCTGCAAACCAGAAAAAAAAAAAAAAACAACATGATTTAAAGACCACCTTTTAGCAATCATTTATCTCTCTAGGTTACTTACATGCTTAATATTTACCCACACTCTGTCACTTGTACAACTTTTAGCTAACATGTTCTCAGATTGCATCCCTTGCCTTCTACCTTTCCAGAAGTAAGGAAGAATGTTGGTATAACTCCAGTTTAGGATAAGGGCTTTGAGAATCACAGAGATCAAGAGACTTTGCATGAGGTTGCAGAGTTCATGGTCTTTTTTGAACCAAACAGAAAAAAAAGAAAAAGAAAAAGAAATTTAGAGAAGGTCAGAGGCTGGCCTTCTCTCTCCTGGTTCTGCTCTCCCCACCAACGATGGAAAAGATGGAGGCATGGAGGGAGGGAGGGAGAGAGGGAGGGAGAAAGCAGGAGAGAAAGGACCCGTGGGAGCATTGATGCTCAATCCATGCCACTCCCTTCTGGTTTGGATTCTCTGATCTCTTTGCTACATTTGACACTGCTCTTCATTTCCACATCTAAGTGGCCAGTACCTCTCTCTGCCTCTGCCCTCTCCTCAGACCTCACCCGCCTCTGGGCCTTCTTTCAGGGGTCCTTGGTTCATTCAGCTCCCTCCTCTCCCTCCTTAACCAAATCCTTTCATCACATTTACTATTCCAGTGCTCAACCCTTCCTAGTCCTAGGAAATTCATACAACTAACAAGGGTATAATGAACACATCTTTGTGGAATATGTCAACTTTTCCTTACTAACCACCACCCCTCCTCCGATTTTTTTCAAATCCCATCAAAGTGCATGCTCCTTTCAGCAGCACCTATACTAACATTGGAAGGATACAGGTAAGGTTGGCATGGCCCACTGGGAAAGGATGACAGGGAAATTTGTGAAGCGTTCCACATTTACAAAAAGAAAAAAATCCCATCAAAGTTTCAGTTTTTGTCTCTTCCTCTTCTAACTTAAATATATGAATATTTTATTAAGATAAACATCCAGTCAAATATCACCTCCTGCCCACTCTTTTCTAAACCCCATCCCAAAGAACCACAGACATCTTTTCTTAAATCTTCCCTTTTTTTTTTTTCATTTGATAGCGAGACATCATCTACTCAGACATTCCTGAATCCAGGAAGTCAACAGCCCTTCTGGGTTTTGTCCCAACGTATGTCTAATGTTAGCTCCTTCCCTTCACTGTGCCTGGATGTCTGCAAGGAGCTCATGCTAGTTTTCCTTGCCTACAGCCTCTAGTCCTTCCAACCCTGTCTGCTGCATTCACTTACCTTAAACACATCCCTCATTCCACCCATTTACCTTAAACACGTCCCTCATTCCACCCATTTACCTTAAACATGTCCCTCATTCCACCCATGCTTACATTTGAAGAACCAGTTCAAACATTATCTTTCTATGAAACCATCCCATATCTCCTCAACCACTTAGTTGACCATTTTATAGGAAAACCAGAAAGAGAATTATATTTACTCAGTTCCAAGTTGTAGGCACAGTGGAAGTATGATCTTACTTAACGAACTTCACAGCAATCTTAGGAGGAGGAAGGTGCTGTTACTCCCATTTTTGCAAACAGGAAAACAAATGCTCATAAATGTTTTGAATCTTAGATCTTGTCTATAGCCACAAAACTAAAAAGCAAATTGTGTTTAAGTTCTCACTGTAACTTATGAATAAAATAATTTTGAGAAACAACGTTTTCTTGATACACACAGAGTATGAAAGGAAAAAAACAAAATGGAAGATTTCTTCCACTGCAGAATTGGAATATATATATTTTTTCCAAGTTGTTTTTGTTTTAAACACAAAAAATAGACATATAGTAGATGGTTGAAAGAGGGATATGTGTGTGTGTGTGTGTGTAGAGCATAGAAGTTCAGAAATGTATCAGTTTTACTTTCTACTGTGGTTTTCATCATGATCTGTGGTTTAAGACTGAAAGACCATGACTACCCAGAGAGTCAGAAGACGGTTTTCACTCTGAGGAACTTTTGCATATTGGCCTTCCTGCAATTAGATGGATCAGGAAGATGCTGTAGTAACCAAGGGGTGTTTGGGGTTTCCCTTTCCTAAAATCTCTGCTTTTTTGGGGCCATCAACTCAATTACATCATCCACAGCACAACAGGTTCTCCTTTAAATACCTGGAAGACTTACAACTTTCCATCACTCAGACTCTGCCTCAGTGGGAGATGCTGTCACCACGTGTGGGGACAGAACAAGCAGTTCTGATGATATGGAAAGGAGCTAGAATACAGAGAGGAACTGTCTATCAAATGACACTCAAGGAATGGAGAAGAGGTGGCAGGGTTCAGAGATGCCGCCATTTCCCCTACCAATTTTAGTGCAGTGAGACTTAATACAGTGGGACAAGGGATGGGGAGGGGAGGAGAACATGACAGATGGCTAGCCGTTAGTCCAATTCTACTGCTGATCATCAGAGCCTGTGAGAGTAGCAGATACCTGGGTAAAAATGCATAAAGCAACCGGATTTTCACTCCTCCCTGTTCCTCTTTTCAGCCTACTTTGTAAAAAAACAAAAACAAACAAGCAAGAAACATTAGGTAATGGGGACATACAATGTATTTGGAAAAACAGGCCTTCTGATGTAAGAATTCACACTCTCAGAACACCAAGGAGATGTGTACCCAAGAAAGCAAGCTGTAGAATTTTATGGGGAAAATGTGGATATAAAGATTCTTTGGGCTTTATCCAGCTTCAAAGTAACAAGGCTCAGACCACAGCCCTGACTACCTGAATATACTAATATTATTTGCTAAGAGTAGATAATCCACTCCAGAGGAAGCTCTGACAGTAGAAGGATAAAGAGTAACTAAGAGACTACTACAATAATTAGAATTTCAAAGAGAGAGGATAACAAGTAAAACTTCACATTTAAACCTACTGGTCCAAGTAAAGTTGGCTGATAAGACCTTTTGCTATGAATCTACCAAAATTTCTTTTGTTTGCACCAGAACTTAAGACATCCGCCCCCTACCGTTTCCATTCATAACTCTTCTTTCATCTGCTGTAATATAAAATCAAAGTATATTTTAGTTTGCATTTAGTAAACAAAGCTTAATTTTCTCTGCTACCCCATCATTTAGTTCCTCCTAAATTCTACCTTCTTGTTAATGTACTTTAATTACAAAAGAAATGCATACTTATTGTAATTAGAAGACACAGAAAAGTAGGTTGAAACATTAAAACCATTTGACGTCCTGGATATGAATATTTAAACATATAGATGTAAATCATTATAGATTCTGTTCAATGTGTGTGCACTGGCATGCGTACACATAAACATAGCATTCCTTTACCAGGGGACTTGCAGCTTTTGAACATTCCCAGTTACAAGCCAAGGCTCTTCAGAGTGGTGTCTACTCCACCTACCGCCAACAGATGGCGATAATGGTTGATAAGTTGTTTTAATATTGGTCATTCCAGTGGGAAATTCATTTAAGGCACCATGGACTCAGCTGCAGTGTTAGTTAGTTTTAGAATATTGTAGGAACATTTTTAAACCTGAAAAAGACTGTGTGTAGGAAACAACAGTAAGAAGTAGATACTTATAATGTAAAACAAAACTAAACAAAAAAAAGATTTTAAGACTGAAAGAGGGTAGGATACTGCTCATGGTTTTGTTTGTTTTAATAGCTGAAATGTCTCTGAAGGACACAGAGGAACTCACACATCCCGTGAGAGATGCTGTGTCCCTTCAAATGACAACACAAGAAAGAGAGACGGGGAGAGAAAGACACACAAAACTTCTGAGTGTGTGGTTCTCAGATGAGCATCAACACTGGAAAGCCCAGGCATGACCTAGTGAGTTAATTCAGGAGAATTGTAAGAGCAACAGCTTACATTTATATAGCTTTTATTTTATGCCAAGCACTGTTCTAAACGACTTAGGTCATCTATTTAAAGCTTCACAACAGTCCTTTGAGTTGGTACAGTATGACTCCTACTATGTAGATGTGAAACTGAGTGAATATGGACCTACTAACGCAGCAAAGATGGGAGGTAGGAAGTCCGCTTTGGCCAAAATGTTGACTGACATATGTAGAAACTTTGGCCACCAAACTTTGGGTCCAAAGATCCAAAGTAATTTCCATCTTGAATCTGCACAGCTCCAAACCAGTGAAGGGAAGAGGGCAGACTTGAGCTGCTACAGTCTCCCAGAGAGTGATAATTCAGAAAGGAGTCACCTGACTTTCTGGTAGACAACTGTTCTATTTGGAATAAGAAACCCAACAGAACATATAAACATTTTCAGGGAGGAGGCAGCACAAATGCCGTTAGAGCTTAACAGGAGTAACTCATGTATCTATTTGGTAGGAATGGATTGGGGGACTCAAAGCCAAAACTCTTCTTGTAATTTTAGACTTGTTGGGGGTGTGGGGGGAACCCCAACACATATACATATATACACTCACACAAAAGTGATACTGTATATGTAACTTTCTAACTTGCTTTCTCTGCTGCTTTATTTTTTAAATGTCCTCCCAGGAAAAGGGAACCTCCTAAAATTTGCATTAGCTCTCCTAACAGTGGTTGAACTGGGGAAGAAAAGAAAGTATAAATTATGTGTATTTGTTTTGCTGATAGCAAAGTTTGTTGGACAAATAAAAATGATGAAAAAGTAGAAAAGTCATTTATCCTTGTATTCTGAAACCTCACTCCCTTGAGCAATTCTGCTGGATACATTTACTTTATTTAATTGGAATAGGAAGTGGTAAGCATTTGAAGATTGAGATACGAGGCATGTACATTTAAAAATTAGGCAATCAATACCAAAAATATTTTCTAAAACTTTATCTTTTTGACCCTGGAGATTTTCAATGTTTCTAGAAGACTAAATATTAAATATATCCCACTTTTCATTCCAGTAGTTTTGGCTTAACTCTCCCACTTGATAACTGCCCATCCCACTTGTACTGAATAGCTGGGTGTGCCTGTGAATCAGTGATTCCTGGTCCCTGGGAGGGAACAGGAAGTGACATCTTATGCAGCTGGAACTGGAGCCAGGATCTGAAAGAGGAAAATGCCTGGCAGGAAAAGCTGCCACAGCACTAAAAGTCAAAACCAAACCTGGCGCTGAAGGTCAATGAAACACAGGAAACCCCAGTATAGTCAAGAAAGAGATCAGACCAAGAAATCAACCCACACATATTTATAGCACATTTCCAGTATGTCCTTCACCATACAGGGACAATCTTTGGGAGAATGTAAGGCATTTTTAATATTAAAAAATAACTAAGAACATTGTGATCTGGTATGGTGAATGCCAAAGGGGGCAGAAACACAGGATAAAGGTCAAGTTCAGCAAGAAAGACTTTGGGGAAAGCAGAAATTCAGGTGAGCTATGGAGGACAACACTCCTAGTAAACAGAAGAATCCAATGCCACCTGTGTGTGGGAGGCAGTGCAAGCTGAGATTGAAAAGGCCCTTAGAGGACTTGGGTTCCAAGAAGAGGAGTCAGGGAACGGAATGTGTCAGGGGTTTTGCAACTGCAGAATGATATGACGAAAGCAAGATTTTAGTAAGATTAATGAAAATCTTATGGCTAGAATTAGCAGAGAGAGATGTCACATTTTATGTTATTGTCATTTCTTTTATCTTTGACTCAAGCAATGACACTCAAGTTCAAGAAATTAAAATGAAGAGGAGCTAGAAGACGAATGGAAAAATTCTAAGGACAGAAAAAAAAATATTTTTTAAGACACAGGGCTTCTTTGAAGTAGCCATAATAAGAGCATAATGTGACTTCTGAGAAAAACCACCCATGGTATCCGTGCTATGAAAAACCAGTGGCTTGTCTCTGTGAATGTAGAGAAGCTGGAGAACAAGTACTATCACCACGGTTCACTTTTCTGAGATGCCCTAGAAAGGACAGTG